CGAATGTGAATCCCATGAGAGTAGGGAAATTGGAGGTTTTTTAGGAAAATTGGGATTGGGGGGATTGGTGGGATGTGGCGGAGGCATTTGGGATTCCGGTGTCCATGAATTGAGGGAGAGTTGGAGTTGTAATTTGAGGTAGGATGNATTGTTTCAATGTAGACGATAGACTATTGATAGAGTTGTTAATTGAAACTGAGTAACTCGTATACTCAGCAAGACTCGTTGGTTAATGGTCAAAAATAAGAATTTTATATAATTTTTTTTATGTTTCTGTTTGTTAAAGATCAAGCTCAGTTTGTTAATGTTGATAAACGAGTTGAACTCGAATTTGATTACCGACTCGTTTAGTTAACAAATCAAGTTCGACTCATTTACAACTCTAGTGGTCAACCCATCATAATTTGTAATAAGATGGATTCTGCACTTTGGGTCATGTCCGTCCTTTGGGCTTCAATTTGTACTTGGGCAATGCTTTCTTTTGTTAGATTATTTTTGGTGTATAACATTTTTAAATTATTCGATTCATTAACCGACATAATTTAATCATTTTATTACTATTATCCCGTGTATCGCATGATGTACGTACTAATTTATTTTATTACTCGACTTCAAACTATACTGTCCTTTTTATTTGTGCTCGGATTAAGGTTTCATGTGTCATGTATATGGTTGAATTGGGCCTATTAGGAACTAAGGGTTGGGCTCTTTGGACCGATCCAAATGTCCGGTAGAGTTGGACTAGGCCTAGTGCCGACTGCCGAGGGTAATTGAAAGTTGTAAATATTTTACAATTCACGTGCAATTTTTTTATTTATTATTGTAGATTTTTTATTAATTGTAATTATAATAATTTTTACGGTTTATAAATAGTTGATTGAAGGTTTATTTTTGTTATTGGTTTTTTAATTGCATTATCTTTGGTATATGACTCGTTTACGTATGTTATAATTTGGAATGTCGCATTTTTGCAAAAGTTAAAAAAAAAAGTAGTAATGAACATTTAAAAGGGCACGTTTATCGATATTTATGAAGTTATTTGATGTACCACATCGTATAATTAAGAATAAAGAGAAGCAATCTCAATCTTAAATACGTGTTTTTTCTTATTCAAATATTAACTGAACTTCTAAAAGAGGAGGAGTCCTTTAAATAAGACTCTTAAAACCCTAATACTAACTTGTCCAACAAGTCAAGGATTCTAACAAAGTAAGACATAAATAAGTTTCCTAACAAATCTAGAATACCACTAATAATAATCATAATCATGATAATAAAGACGAAAACAAATAGTTAAATTAAAGAGTCTAAAGATCCTTATCCCCATCATTCTCCCATTGTCTAAAAGAATTCACCTTTGAATCAGGCACAACCTTGTGGTCACCGAAATCATCACCATATATCACTTAGCATGAAAACAACCAACAAATTTTCCACACTAATGGACAGAGAAAGAAAAGAAACTTGTCTCTATTTTTTCATTAAATAATGTGCTCAAAGGTTTGAGTTTTGAGATCCTTCATCTCCAATTACTTAAATAATGTGCTCAAAGGCTTGAGTTTCGAGATCCTTCATCTCCAATTACAAATCGAAGGTCAGGCATGTTTCATTGTGGAGTGAGTTGCTTCCCGGTTTTCTCCTGGAGATGAAGGTTGAAATATGCTCAACGTCACAGTTTTCCTTCTTCGAATCAAGCAACAAAATTGTGATCTCAGATATTGGCCATCCATTTATATTGGAAAAGTCCTCAGTTGTTGTCTCGGTTGGTGAAAGCTGATTATCAGCAATATTCAGCCCTATTGGTTTGCAACTGGCTCGTTCCTCAGCCACATGGTTGTCGTCCTCCACCGACGACATCAAATCCTCTTCGTAAAAAATTGGCGGACCCTCATACTCGGACGACCTCTCATCATCGAAACGAGGAGGACACTTATACTCGGTCGACCCTTGCGCGTCCACAACGGACCTTGAAAATTGAGGGATCTAGACTCGAAAATTTGACTTCCAACGCCGATCGTCGGCGAACCGATCCTCGTCCCGCACCTCCATCGCCCCGAAAAGATATAACTCGTAGAAGTTGTCTTCAAAGTCACCTTCTCTGGCCCACGGTGGATGTGACCGAGTGCGGGGCGCCCCACGTGGACCCCGGCCGCGACCCCCATCCATCTCATTGCATCCCCCGCCATGGGCGAGGTTCGTTTGCTTGCCCTGAACAATGGTACAGAGAGCCAGTCAAATGTCCCGGATCCCTGCGGACAGATCCGTAATCAGATGACCCATCGTCTCGAACTGATAGTCAAACCCCTCGTACTGGCGGCTCAGGTTGTCGATAACGGTGTCACGCCTGTCGTCTGCAGCATCTTGTCTCCGGCTGGTCGCTAATAACAACTGATGTAGGAGAAGCGTACGAGTGAGAAGGATAAATGAGAATTTGATCTCAGAATACGATAAAACACGCTCAATATCTGATTTAATCATCAACTGCCGAAAATAAACTAGAGATAGTCCTTTATATAAAGCTCCTACACCCTAAACTTAACTTGTTCACCAAGACTAAGTAAAATAATAAATAAATGCTAAATGTTAGAAATGATAAGAATAGTAGATACTACCAAATATTCTAGTAATAATAAATATTTTGGTACTCCGTCTGCGCAATTGTACACTACCTTTACATCAGTTGGTATCAGCAATCAATAGGATTCAAGATGTCGCCGTGATGACAAGATACAACAAACGAATGCCGTGACGTCGTCGCCATCAACGATCAAATTTCAACAGATCAACGATCAATTTCAGCAGATGAACAAATGGATGACAAAAATTCAAAATTGGTCCTATAATTTGGCCACTGTCCAAAAAACTACCCCGATATTGACCACTTTCAATTTAGGTCCTATAATTTGTCGATTTCATCAATTTTGGTCCTTTTTTATCCGCACCTTGGATTAAAAAGTGACGTGGCATGAAAAAATGACCAAAATTGATGAAATCGACAAATTATAAGACCAAAATTGACGTGCCATGTAGATCATAATCACGCCATGTAACATTAAAAAACTGACACATCATGCCACGTCACTTTTTTAATCCAGGGTGCGGATAAAAATGACCAAAATTGATGAAATCGACAAATTACAGGACCTAAATTAAAAGTGGTCAATATCGGGGTGGTATTTTGGATAGTGGCCAAGATATAGGACCAATATTGAAATTTTGTCACAAATGGATTACGGTAGACATGGCCAAGGGTCTCCCGGCCCACCGATCCGGCACGGACCCGGCCCTGTCAAACCCATTGACCACGGGTCCAGAACCGGCCCGGATTTCAGACGAGCCGTGTAAGGGTCATCCATTTCATGACCCGAGCCAGAGGGTCAGGGTCGGGCCGGGTCGATGACCCTTCTTTTCATTTTTTTTTTATTTTTTTTTCTATTGTTTTATAAAAAAAGCATGGACCCGGCATGGTCCGGACACGGACCCGGCACGAGTATAGGTCCGTGCCGGTTCAGGGTCAATGTTTTCGAGCCCGGCGACCTGGCGGGCCGGCACGGGTCGTGACCAGCCCGGGTTTTGGCCATATCTAGATTACGGATCGATTTGCGGATTTTTCGACAGGTTTCGAGGAATTGCATCTAACTATACTAAGAGGACACGTCATTTTATTCGGGTATAGGTGCATTAATACATGCCTAGTTGGATTGGGGGCTATTGGACGATCAATAAGGGGGTGATTGTTTATGTATTGTACAGTAAAAAAACTAATTCAAACTCAAATTTAACACAACTTTAACTCAACTTCATTATTTTCAATATTATTAATATAATAAAATAATATCAACCAATCATTTTTACACATCACATCAACTTTAATTTACTATTCATCCACTCACATAATTTTAACTAACTATCACTTCCAATCATTTTCTCTTACTTTTATATCAAATCAACTTTAATTATTTTATTTTAAATACTATTTTAATATATCCACTAACAACTAACCATACCACTTTTTTTCAAACTTAACTATAGTTAAAAAAAACTAGATTTTTACTAGTTGAACTCATATCCAATCACCCTCTAATATATCATTTGGGCACAAAAATTTTACAAATTTCATCTTTGAAATAATTGTTTGAATGCAGGTCGTAAAGAGTCGTTTAATCTGAACTTGAAAATTCTGGCAGAATTTGGGACACAGAGAAAGTAAGTCAAATTATGTGTGCACACAAAAAAAACGAACTTTCTTTTGGTCAGCCGCCAAGCTAGACTTGAAAATTACTATTGTTTGCTTTTACATTTTTACTTTTTAGTGCTCGTTTATTTATGAACTTGCTTTTTCTACATTTTAAGCAAACCAAATATAGTGCCTTGTGTTTACTTGCCTAGTAATTTACTTTTTTTGACAATTGAATGTCTGTCTAAAATATATTTTACATATTCGTTCCTCCTAAATTCTTTCACTTTAGGAAATACATAAATATGTGCACATTATCGTCTAGGTCAAGTAAAATGGTGTAAAACATATATAGAAAACGAGTTTTGGGTTGTTGAGGATTGTTTAAAGTGAATTTCGTCGGTACAAATAAAAATTAACGTTAATTTTGCATTGAGGTTCGAAATTGCTATTATATTATAATTTGTTTTTAGAAGCGGAACAAATTATTATGATTGAACCCATCGCGATCGAATAAGTTGTCTGAACCCAAATTCTAGTATTTGCAGTTCGTTTTAACTCTTTTTATGGGGCTTTGATATACGCTTTTGAAACATTGTATCGAGGATGATCGAAATATCATATTCCATTTTATAATATACATTTTTTTTTAAAAGTACATTACTTTTTATAATTAAAAATTCCCTCTAAAAATTGACAAGTCATGAAGACGGCAATATAGCACAATTTGATATTTTTGTTACTTTTTGACCACAATAATGATCACATTCCACATTAACCATTATATAAACCATTCTCTCACGATCATATCACAACAAGACCTAATTAACAAGGAAAACAAAGTAAACAACAGCAATTTCATTTGCACATATATTCAAATATTATTGCATAATAAAAAGAAAAATGGCTAGGAGCACAAAAAAAATCCCAATAATAGACATGGCAGATTCATCTGGCCAGCTTCCGGAGAAGATTGTGAGATCGTGCGAAGAATTCGGGTGTTTTCGGCTCGTCAACCACAGAATTCCGATTCCGGTCATGCGCGACATGCGGGCCGTGGCTCGGGCCCTTTTGGATCTTCCTTTGGAAGTGAAAATGAGAAACTCGAATCTTCAAGAGCCCGCGAAAGGGTACACGCCTCCGAATTTGGCGAGCCCATTTTTCGACAGCTTGAGTTTGTACGATATGGGCTCGGATGGTTCGGTGGATGAGTTTTGTGCTCAGATGAATGCTTCTCCTCAACAAAGGTGAGAAATCGTGTTGAACATTGTTTTTAATTGTGTGTAATGCTATTTTTCATTGTGTCTCTGGTGTTATTTTTTTAAGTTTAATTATTGGGTTTTTTTTTTTTTNAAGAATTATTGAGTTTCTTGTTTTAATGTATGATATCTCAATATGAAAATATGAATATTTGTGGTAATTGATCATGTGCTACAAGTAATCTTGAAGTGCTACTCAAAATAGTTACATATATACTTGAGAAAAAGTTTTCATTATCTAGATAATTTTTTCATTTTCAATAAGCTGCTTTTGTTACGGGAAAAAGCAGAGAGCTAGGATGGATAGCTAGCTTGACTAATTTCAAAATTTATAATAAGTAAAAACAAAATTATGCCTTATTGAGCCATTTTCCAAAAGAAGTTGTAAAATTGACCACACACGCCTCTAAACAGAATAATTAGCACTTCAACATTCATGACGTGCTTGAACATGAACCAATTAGCCTAGCTGAATTTTATCTCATTAATTTCTTTTAGCATTATACTTCAAATCACTCAATTTACTTAATATTATCTCATAATCAATAAATTTGCAGGGCAATCATACACAACTACACATCTTCCCTTCTTCAACTTGTCCAATTTATGGGCACTAAGTTGCTAGAAGGCCTTGGCTTGTCTGGTTGCCCTTTCCAAAGAGGCATATGCCAGCTGAAAATGAACAATTACAATTATACCCCTGAAACTGTTGGCAAAACCGGAGCCGTCTTGCACTCGGACGCCGGATTATTCACGATATTACACGACGATGATGATGTTAACGGCTTAGAGGCTGTGGATAATTCAACCGGTGAGCTTATTTCCGTTGATCCCCTGCCCGGAAGTCTTGTCGTTAACGTTGGAGATGTCGGCAAGGTATACGAACACGACAATTTTCCTTAAGGAAGTTTGAAAAATTAATCACTACATCGTCACTTTTTATCTACGAAAACTCCACGCTTTTTGGCCGTAAAGTTAAAAAATTCGTATGTTTTACAATTTTTGGCTTGATATAAGAGAAAACTGAAATTTAGTTTGTTTCACTACCTTAGAGCATGATTGGATATAAAAAGTTTTTGTTTTGATTGGATTTTTAGCTTGGGTTGGCTAAATTTGAAAAAGTTGGTATGATTAGTTGTTAATGGGTATATTAAAATAATATTTTAAATAAAATAATTAAAATTAAATTGATGTAAAAGTAGAAGAGAGAAGATATGATGTGATGGTTAGTTAAAATTATATGAGTTGATGAAAAGTGAATTAAGGTTGATGTTAGGGGTGTTCACGGTCCGGATTGGTCCGATTTTAGCCCAAACCATGACCAAACCGGACCTAACGGTTAATTTTTTTTCTTGTCCATAAGCGGACCGGTTTTATTTTTTAACCGACCACAATCCGGACCGCATTGGACGGTCCGGTTTGGCGGTTAATCGGTTAAATCTAAAACTTGTTTTGGGCCTTCAATTTTTATTTTTTTTCATTTTGGGCTTAATTTTTGTTTTTCAATTTTGGGTCCTAAAGAGATTATTTGGGCTTAAAAATTAAGAAAAACAACAATAATGAAATAAAAAGTACACAATTCGTCTCATAAGCATAAAAATGCACATTTCCTCCTATAAACATAAAAATACAAAAATGATGAAGATTAATTATGCAAACTGAACTCAAGCAAACATTCATTTTTCAGTCAATTTATACACCTGAAATAATAAGAGCAAAACATTCATAGTGAATGTATTGTATTTGTCGGCCATAGTGAATGACTGAATGTATATATATATTTGATATAGTTTTTTAATATTTACCGGTCCGGTCCGGTTAAACCGGCGGTTTGCCGCAGGTAATCCGTTAACCGGACCGGTTATTCCGGATTTTTAAAAAAATTAACCACCGGATTTTTTAAGGCTTTTTTAACTGACCATTTAACCGATCCGCAGTCCGGATTGACAGTTTTTTCCGGTTAAAACCGGACCGTGAACACCCCTAGTTGATGTGTGTAAGAATGATTGAATGATATTATTTAATTATATTGATAATATTGATGTTAGTGGGCATATTAATGATATTTTCAGCCCTTGTGTTTGCAAAAAAAAAAATTATAAAGAGGTCATTTTCGCAACAAAAATGTCTTTAAATTTGCAAAAAGGTTGCAGTGTCGTCTCCTTTGAATTGCTCGGAGACCATAATATAACCTTTTTGTAGGCCTGTAAACGAGTGTCGAGCTCGGCTTATTAAATAAACGAGTTTGAAATCGAGCTCGAGCTCGGCTCGTTTATCACTAATAACGAGCCAAGTGCGCCTTAACAAGCCGATCTCGAACTTTAACGAGCTGAACTACAGAAAATTATATAAATGAGCTTGAGCTCGACTCATTTATTAAACGAGCCAAGCCAAACCGAGCCTTAATGAGCCGAGCTCGAGCGAAGCCGAGCCGAGCCAAGTTTGTTTAATTTAATCGCACTACCTTTTTGCAACGAAAATCAAAAAAGCAATTCGAATGGGACGAAAAAGTTAGAGCAGTGTAATATAGAAGACTAAAATTGCATTTTTCTCCTCGATATAATAATGAATGCCCATCATGTTTGAATCTGAAGGTATGGAGCAATGGGAGGTTTTGCAATGTGAAGCATCAAGTGAAGTGCTACAAGCCGGCAAGACGAATCACGATTGCTCTTTTTGTGTTGCCTCCTAAAGACGGGAAGGTCGAAGTCTTGTCGGAGCTTGTGGATTGTCAAAACCCTCCGCTTTACGTGCCGTTCGATTTCGAAGAATATAGAAAGCTCCGAATCTCGACAAGTTCGGCGACGGGCGAGGCTTTGGGGTATTTTCGGACAAACCAAGAATCATTGAAATAGAAGAACTACATATAACTTCCATTTCGATATGCTTTTGTATGATCGGAGATCATTGAATAATTATCTCGAATAGTCAAAGTTTTCAAACACGAAGTGTATTTTCACATCTCATAAACTTCAAAACTCAGCCCTTTTTCATGCCGATACGTACAAAACGTATAAGATATGTAATAAGACATCAAATGCTTCGCGCTCGATTCAAATCCAATCCTTTCTAAGCTCAGCTCAGCACATTTGGTGTACAAAATCTAACAAGTTAATTAATTCAGACATCAACTGAATGGATGATGAATCTTCAAACAATCGTTCACTTCTTGAAACTCCGTAAAAGGTTGACTAGAAAATAGTGAAACTAATTACAAAATTTCAGCCTGTCAAATAAGTAGCATGTTGAATGATAGAATTCTATTTTGTAAACCTCCAGTTAGGCTTAATGGCGTGAAAATGAGCTGAAAATTAACTCCCAAATCTGATTTAATCTCTCAAAACGTACCAAGAATTTCTATGTGCGTGAATTATTCACTTATTTGCCTCAATTATTGACTAATAAAAACGCTCTAGTTATGGTGTTAGAATAATTTGACGCGGCTGAGGAAGGTCGCCGGAACTTGTTGCTTGACGCGGCTCTTGGCGGCGACGGGTTCACTCACGGCCAAGGAGGGCCGCCGTTCGCCGACGGTGAATGATTGGTCGGAAAAAGTGTGTATTTTATATTTTTATTAGCGTATTTTTATATGCTTAATTTTATCGCACTTATATATTTTTTTGACTTATTTATTATTTGGATGAATTCGTGTACTTTGATATTTTATTATCTATTTTCAGCATTTTTGGGACTATTTCTGATTGCACGAAGATGTGTGGATACACGAAGAAGGATGAAGAAGTTTTTCTAGCAGAGTAAGGGGTGTCCCGTACTGACCCAACAGCACCCCGTACTCATACGTCCAACAGAACCCATGAAGTTCATGCATATACAAGCCCAAATTATACAAAGGCCCAATATTGATTTCAATTAGTGGGGAAACTCACGCACTTTTGGAAATTAAAAAAATGGGCTGAGAGGAATTGAAAGGCTAGATACTTTTAGTTGGTCAGTTTTTGATTTGCTGGACACATAATTAAAATGGAAGAGAGAAATTATTCACGCGGTCCCGTATAACACACGCAAGCCTTGGGAATTAGTTTTGGCAGCCGCCATATATTTGAGAAGGGATTTTATTTGCAAAAGCCGAGAGCCCTATTCACGCACAGAAAAGGAGGATCATACCTGGAGAGATAGAAAAGACAGACGCACGGGAAAAAGCAGAAAAACGAGAGGAGCTCGAAGAATTGCGGAGGGAGGCCGCACCCGCACACGAAAGGGGATATTCTTATTCTCTTTCTTTTATTATTTATTATGTTAGGCTAGGTTTTTATTTCTAGTTCCGGTGATGTTGAACCTTACGACTTGACGATGTTTGATTAATTTACGTGGTTGATAATTTTAATATCTTTTTGGAATTATTTGTGTTATTTTGAATAATTCACCATGATGTGTTAGTCTTGTTTAGATTGATCACCTAGATTAGGCTTTTCATATCTACATCTGAGTTAGACCTGTAATCCGTAATTGTTGTTGTGTTTAATTCATAAGAGGTAACCGGAAGATGGTAACTACCAGGGATAACACGACCTAATTAAGTGAACGAACGCGGTTGAGTTCACTAATTAGTCTAGCCTATTTTTCTAAATCGTAAAGCGGCAAATTGTATTAAATCTTGAAAACGTTTTTCTGGACTGTACAAGAAGTCAGGTTTAATCGTCGAGCGTCTCGCGGTTAAATTAAAAATAAGAAAAAATTCGGGTAACAGACCGTGTCGTTACCTAGGGCTAGTAATTTCATGAGATAGCGAGATTTGATACTAAAATTGATTAGACGAGTCAGTTGAGGGTGTAGACGGAACCGTGAACTAGAAGCTTTCTCTTATTTTATTTATTTTAATTTTATTTTCTTGTTTAGATTTTATTTATTTCATTAGATTTTTAGGTAGTTTAGTTATTAAATCAAAATTCCCCCATTTATCGCTTTTTATAATTTCAATTAATACGAGAAAATTCACGATTTGATTCACACTCCTCGTGGGATCGACCCTTGCTCGCCACTACTACTAGTTAGTAGGGGTTAGTCGAGGAAAATATAAATATTAATTTTGCCGCGTTGCGACGCGCGGCCAAATTTTGGCGCCGTTGCCGGGGAGTGGCGTTATTGAATTGTGATTTTTGAGTACTAATTGAGTTCTCTTTTTAGGATTTATTTTTGTCATCTCTTATCCCCCTTTTTCCTTGTTTTATTTCTTTTATTTTCTTGCAGAATACTGGGGTACCCCGTACTCTGCTGAACAGATTAGTTCGCCCCCATACTCTTGAGAGTAACTTGAGTTTTGGCGTTTTTGATCGAGCTTTGAGCAGCTTTTCGAGATGGCAGCCTATTATCACGACTTTTATACCCACCGTGCACCTTACCAGTATGAGAGGGAGATACGAGGTCCGTGGATTGGAGATCAAGGCGTAAGAGGACATAGCGATTGGCGAAGATAAGAGCAAGACTACATGTATCCCGAGGAGAACGAGTATGGCTTGAGAGAGCACTCGAACTCTTTCCGTGGGTACTCCGACCACCAATTGCGCGAGATCCCAGCCCATCGCTAGAGGATATGGTGAAGGCACTAGAGGCTCACACGTTGAGATTTCGGCAAGAGTATTGTGAGCCATTCGTTGAGAGAGATCCTGGTCCGTCACTTGAGGATATGGTGAAGGAGTTGACGCCTCACACTCTTAACTTTCAGCAAAGTGTTCAGGCGAGCATCAAGAGCCAAGAGGCGAGCATCAAGAGCCAAGAGATGAGCATCAAGAACCAATGACTGCGCATAAGGAATTTACAAGGCCACATGAGCCAATTGGTGGACCAGATGGACCGACTAGTGTATCGGCTGGAAAAGAGTCCAATGAGTTCGAGTGTCATCCATTCATACAATGAGGACCTCGAGGAACTTGAAGAGTGCACACACGAGTCGGAGAACGAGAAAATTCACGATTTGATTCACACGCCTCGTGGGATCGACCCTTACTCGCCACTACTACTAGTTAGTAGGGGTTAGTCGAGGAAAATATAAATATTAGTTTTGCCGCGTTGCGACGCGCGGCCAGTGAAGGATGAAAGGGCGGGATCTGCTCGACGTGAAAAAGAATAGGGGCTGATTTGATGTGCAGATGAAAGGGACTCGCCGGGGAGAGTTGAAGGGGTACGACGGGACTAGTTTGCTCAAATCTTTGAGTGAAATCTCAATCGATTTTATCAGAAGAGGTTTGGCACGATGGAAGCTGAGATCGATTTGGGCGAGATTGATTGAAGAAGAATAGGGGTTTTGCTCGATTAGTGGAGTGAATTCCAATAATTAAGGAGAAAATCATTAATTATAATATTCTATAATTTGACATATATTAAAACTCTGGGATAAGTACAAATAATTATGGTGTATGTGGTAGGTTTGAAAATAAATATAGATTGTATGTATATGTGTAATATAAATAATAATACTTTATATGGAGTGTAAATTCCTTTTAAGGAAAACCAGGCAAGACAATCGACATTGAATTGCTTTGCAGTGGCGGCGAATTTCACTTTTCATTCTCCAACCTTTTTATGCATGGAGCTCCAAATGCACTAATGGATTTAAGCTGTGTTTTCCAAAAGCCAGGTGCTGTTTCAAAGTTCCTTCTTTTTACTGTCTGAAAAATTAACCAGTGGTATAAAGAAGCGATTTTTATTTGTTGGCGATTTGTTGCTCGTTTGAATGCCCTTAAGCTTATCTTCAGCCTCTAAGATTTGTGATTCGTTATTTTTAGCTGCCTAATTTTAAATGTTTGAATTATGGTGTTTAATTCTTACTCTGCTCAAGAGTTCNGATAAAGAAGCGATTTCTTTAGGCGAATTGTTGCTCATTTGACTACCCTTATCTTCAGTTTCTAAGATTTGTGATTTTGTTATTTTTAGCTGCCCATTTTTTTTAAACCATTGAATTATTGTGTTTAAGTCTTAATGTGCTCACGACTTAAAGAAATTGGTGGGCTGAGGGATATGATGAGTTGTAACAGGTACTGATGATGGGTATTTTCACTGTGGGTAATGTCTTAGATATTTTCTACTGGTGCTGCCAATCATTTTTGTGCTTGTGCCGAGCTTCTAAGACGTTGCTAGCTAATAATCTCCTGATTATAGTTTCTATTTCAAGCTGATTCCCTTCGTTTTTTTTTCCTACACCGTTGTTTGTTTTCATCGATTTCATGTTTTATGCAGCTTACAGAGATCTGTCTATTTGAGTATTTGAATTGTGGTTGATTGGTTATTTCGAACTGGCCATGGAAAAATAAGCCTAATTTTGTTTTCGTTCTTGTGTGAAAAAAGATTTTATTCCCTCTTATTGATTTTGTTTATTAAAATGGTGTTTTTTCGGTCAAGAAATGTTGTATGGTGTGATATATGTTTGGTTGTTATCTTTGGACATTCAAGTTAATGCAAATCCTCCATTTTGTTTTTGACAAACAGAACAATCAAACAAAAACAACACATAATTGTTAAAGATTTATTCTTAACAAAATGAAATTGAAAGGAAAGTATAGGCTATAGCATCAGTCAATCTTTCTTTTTATTCCTAAAAACCGAGTCAATCTTTCTTTTTATTCCTAAAAACCGAGAGGTAAGTAAAGCCAGCTTCTCCAATGATGTTCTTGTCGATTGTATCTTTGGCAGTTGGATTCAATGTCGATGTGCTGTTGAGAAGGAGAAGCCTTTTGATTTCAAGATTTGGGTTGAGATGTCTTTTTATTGTGCTGCAATCTTTGATTTTAACTGATACAAATTGTTTTTATACTCCCATTTCTAATCTTGGAAAACTAGGGTGTTGAATCGGTTGAAACTGAATCGACAGAAATTTTGGTTTAACCAAATGGAAATCGAGAATCGAACCGAATTTTGTGGTTCGATTTGGTTTCGATCCAAAGATTTGGCAGTTGGATTGGTTTGGTTACGGGGAAGATGATAATTACATTGGGCTCCAATCGAAATTTTCAGTTCGGTTGACCAAAAAACACTAACTATGACACTCACATACTCGTTTACTTAGACTCTTGGATGCTTGGATTATTGGGCTTCATTGCAAATGAGGTGGTCTCCTCTATTTATAGCCACCACCTCCTCTAAAGGAATTCTCTAGAACATCTAATTTCTTGGAACATCTAATTTCTTGGGTATTCTAGATACTTCTACGAAACTCCTACACACATATCCCTACTACAATTCTCTACCATATTTGGGAAGGCTCTAGAAGACTCCACATTACTTTCAAAGGTTCCACATGCTTCTAGATCCTTCTACAATATTCTGGAACCTTACAATATTCTGGAACCTTTCACATTTTTCCAGATCGTTCTAGATGCTTCCGGAACCTTCCACAATGTTCCACGACGTTCCACATTTTTTCGGATTGTTCTAGATGCTTCTGGGTCCTTCCCAAAAGGAGGTGTTGATATTTTAACATAATATGATCGTTTGATCCTACAGTTTCTCTTTTTTATTATTTCAACATTCTTTAATGAGTTTATTTTTTTATGATTGAAATAGAATTTAACTTTGTTCTGAACAAATTAAAAATTTATGAACCAATAATCTGGTTATTTTGAGGTACATAAAAAAAAAAAAGAAAGAGTATTGTACGTACCTTATTTAGGGGAATATTGTGATTTCATTAAAATTTGTTTCAAACATTCATTTAAGTTTCATTAAAAGGAAACGGGAGATATTTACATTGTAAGATGGATTTTGTTAAGTTTTAACATTACTTGTATGTGGGTATTTTAGTTTCATTTTCTTCTATGTAGTTTGTGTTATGTATTGTGTTCATAATATGGTTTAATGTTAGAGATCACTAAACTCCATTCAAAATACTCCAAATAACAAAAGATTTTTCTCTGAATCTCATGCTAACTGCTAACTGTGTTTTTTTCTGCTCTTATATATGTGTATGCCAGGTGTCAAGGATCAAATGGTTAGCCATATAAGCCAATTGCCTGATGAAATCCTCTGTAGCATTTTATCTTTGCTAACAGTGAGAGATTCTGTTTGGACAAAGTCAATGGTAAATCAGTGGAGATCTCTACCCGATATACGCTCGAGTCTTGAGTTTGATGCTTGTAATGTTTTTGGAAAAGAAGAAAAACTCTGTTTTGGAAATAAATTTCATCGATCCCAGTTTGTGTCAGCTGTTGATAAGTTTATGGAGCTTTGGAGGGGTACAAAAGTAAATAGGCTAAATGTCGATTTCGCCCTTGGAAATGAACACGCTTCACATATCGATAGGTGGATTTTAACTGCTATTAGAATGGGCGTTGAGGAAGTTCGCCTTAATTTTATTCATACCGATCATGAAAGTTATCGTTTTCCCTCTCGTCTTGTGGACTTTGAGAAGTACTCATCTTCGTTGAAATCTCTGTGCCTGAGAAAATGCAAATTACATCTTTACCCTGATTGTCAAATTTGGTTAAGTCATTTAACTGTACTTGAATTGAGTTGTGTGCCTTTAAATTGGTTTTCCGTGAGGTTTATTCTGTCTGGTGGTTTAATCCTCACATCACTTACACTGTCTGATTGTTCCCTGCCGAGAGTATTTCGGATCGATGGGACTCAACTCCATTGCTTGAAGAAACTAGCCATTAAAGAAAAAGTGATGAAAATCGATCTAAATTGTGAAAATCTCGAGTCTTTTAAATATTATGGAGAATCGGTAGATATTACATTTATTCACGTCCCAATATTGAGAGAAGTGGACATATGGCTCAAATTCGGTTTGACGGCCTCAGGGATTTTCGATAATCTCATGAGAAATGCTCCCCAACTCGAGGCTTGATCCTTATGCATGATGATTGATGTAAGTGAAATACTGAAAAGTATACATTTTTTTTTTTTTTTTTTTTTTTTTTTTTTTTTTTTTTTTTTTTTTTTTTTTTTTTTTTTTTTTTTTTTTTTTTTTTTTTTTTTTTTTTTTTTTTTTTTTTTTTTTTTTTTTTTTTTTTTTTTTTTTTTTTTTTTTTTTTTTTTTTTTTTTTTTTTTTTTTTTTTTTTTTTTTTTTTTTTTTTTTTTTTTTTTTTTTTTTTTTTTTTTTTTTTTTTTTTTTTTTTTTTTTTTTTTTTTTTTTTTTTTTTTTTTTTTTTTTTTTTTTTTTTTTTTTTTTTTTTTTTTTTTTTTTTTTTTTTTTTTTTTTTTTTTTTTTTTTTTTTTTTTTTTTTTTTTTTTTTTTTTTTTTTTTTTTTTTTTTTTTTTTTTTTTTTTTTTTTTTTTTTTTTTTTTTTTTTTTTTTTTTTTTTTTTTTTTTTTTTTTTTTTTTTTTTTTTTTTTTTTTTTTTTTTTTTTTTTTTTTTTTTTTTTTTTTTTTTTTTTTTTTTTGGCACTTCTCGCAGAATATTAATTGCTACATTTTCCTAACGGACTCTTTATTTATCCATCTCCAGGTAGTAAGACCACTGTCTTCTGCAAACATTGCTAAGTCATGTCTAAGGAAGCTCGATTTACATGCTAAGATCCCATCCGGTTTTAATCTTTTAAGTATTAATTAATTGTTGAAAGTTTACCCTTTCCTCGAGATATTGCATCTAAAGGTTGGTTTTCCTTACCTTGGTAATTTTCTGGTGGTTTTTTTAAATAAGCTTCTTTGGGTAATTTTTCAAATAAGTTTGTTGGAATTTTTATTTCAGCTAGCTTATCAGCTAATTTTACTAAACAATTTTATCATATAAGCTAGTTTTCAGCTATAAGTTATAAACTCGAAAATTACTTATCAGCTATCAAACTAGTTTTACCAAACATCGCTATAGTGGTTTCTATTTACAGATGCTATATGTAGTTGATTTTAATCTTCTGCCGGTTTTGCATATTTTCATCAACAGTTGAGTCTTCGAGAACACACCGTACGTAGGCAAGGAGGAGGGTATTGTGGTTGTTGGGTTCGCTATACCGTGCGGGATAAAACGCAGCGGAAATAAAACAAAATAAATAAGAATTTATCTAATAAATACTAAACCCCTCGGTTCAAATATCGATTGTTACGATCGGCATCTTTTAAAATCACTTATAAATACGAATTTTGATTTGTAATAAGTAATTTCGAAAATTACCTTTTATCTTGAACTCCTTCTTTATACGACGATGATTGAGGAAATCAATTCCCGGTTGTATGTGACTTTCACCGTCTCTTGTTACTCACCCGAGGGATCCAAGTGTCTCCCCTCTAAAAGTATCCACCTTTTTGTAATTCAATCTCGAGAACTAGTTTCTTCGCTAGTAAAAACTTCTCGATTTGTTCAATTAGTATCGAAATATTTATTTTAGATCGAGGAGATTATAATTTTAATCTTTATTAAAATTTTCAAGAACTATTCTTGATATGGAAATAATTCTCTAAGTTCAAGAACACTTCTTGATTTACAACTCTTGTGATTTTTCTCTCTCAATTTTCTTGTTAATACAAGTGTGTCATTTGTATATCATATATGTACACCTGTTTATACTTAAACATTTAGATCACAAGATGTCATATTGTATTTTTAAAATCATTATTTTATTCAAATTAGATGGCATCTAGATCTAAAATGATTTTAATAAAAAAATGTCATTAGATCCCATCTAATAATATTTTATTTATTATTTTAATCTTTGATAAAAATTAATCAAAATATATTATCACATATTTATAAAATCTCCTCTTATTATAAGAATATTATAATATGGATTTGAATTTTAAAATATAATTTTAAAATCTAACTATTAATTTAGTAATCCCATTAATTACTTAATTAATATCCAAAATATAATTAATCAATCAAATTGATTAATTTAGTATATTCCTTTAGTTGATATTTAATCAAAATTAGAATTATTAAATAATCAAATTATTTAATTAATACTTGTCAATTAATTCTAACTCTTTAGAAATACTAATTACAAATGATCTACATTCAAAATTGGGTGTGACCTTTTTTAGGTTCACTATTAATATTAGTAGTGGGTTTACAACTCCTTGTAATTTGAATTAATCAAATTAATTCTTATTCTTTGAATTAACTCCTTAATTCAAGAACCCACATATCATGGGAACAACCGGGAATTGATTTCCTCAATCATCGTCATAACCTTTCCGATTAAATCTTGGGTATGATTTAGTCGCAACCCAAATTGATTTAATAACTATGATTCCATTTCAAGTTTAATAATTCATATATGAATCTCTATTCATCCCGCCTTGGCCAATGACTTTGAATTACAAACTATGAAACACATAGGAAATTCACTTAACTCATAAATGTCGAATCCTTTGTTGGCCACTGACAAACTTCCATTCATATTAATATAATACCCAAAATATCCCTTTATACGACTGTGCTAGCAATCAAAAGGATAAATCAAAGTAAAATATAATATGCATAAAGTTACTATCGTGCCTCAAGTCTAAGGATCAATCATGTACTATTGTAACATGAAAATTCTTATTCGACATAATAAACTTTCATTCAGAATTTTCATACAGTCATGTTCACTGAATTTGTTCTCTAACAAACACCCACATATATGTATTTGCGATCCACGCTAATGTTGATGGAATGCAACATTCTTGTCAAACAAGTATACATCATATGTACAAGTCTTTCCGGATTATTCGATATCCCATCTCGAAATATTCAACGACTTGGAACTGTATTTAAGATCACAGCTTTAAAGATATGTTCCATGATTACCATCAAATGCGCAATCATGCCTTATAGCCATTAATGATCTAAGGATTTTATCATATGTACAAATATAAGATAAATGCAAAAACATAAGATAAAACAATGCCTTAATAATATAATTTCAATAAATTATTTTTACAAGTAAAAATAAATTCAATCTGATTGGAACGCCGGGTATTCTACTCCAACAGTGGTAACCTGTCACACTCTCGGTTGAAAGAAGTCAAAATTGAAGGATTTAGTTTGCACGTAAGGTCATTGATGTTCATATGCAACTTGCTCAAAAGGGCTGTGGCTCTTCAATACATGATTATCAAAACTCTCAACGGTTGTCCGAATAGAAAAGAGAGGCTGAAAAAGGTTATGCAGAGGATCATCGCCTCAAGTACAGCTGAGGTCATCATCCAGTGATGTTTAACTTTAATAAGTATATTTAAAGAGATGCTAGTAATTTATTTATTTATTTATTTATTTTTATTATTATTTTTTTTAAATGTTCTGAAAATAGCTATAATCATAAGTACAAATTACGATGATTGTCTTATCTCTAACTAATATCTTGGGAAGTTGATTAGTGATTACTATTAGTTGCGATGCTTTGACGAGATTATCTCAATTTGGGTTACATTAACTAGTTTCTATATACTAGTACGGTGCCCGTGTGATGCACGGAAGCATTTATTATATATATATTTTTTAAAAGATATTTTTGTATTTAAGTTGTCTCATGCCATTAAAAATTTCATGAAAATGAAATTTATATGTTATTAAACACTTCCTTATGTACAACATTATTGATTTGATTCTTTGACACGTAAAGTACTACATAGGTGTTCGAATTTATTCAAAATTGCATATTATTAGTTATTAATTAATAAATTTTAAAAAAATTAAAGGATCTTATTTATTGAACAAAATTAAAGTAGAAAAAAAACTAAAATATTTTAGTGATTTTCACCCATTATTTATTTTAAATCTAATTCTAAATTTCAATTAAGAAAAATTGAAAAGAATCATTAGTTAATTCCGAAAATGAAACCGATTTTCCTACCAATAAACCGATTTTTTTATCAAACAAATTGATCCGATTTTTTTTTTAAACCAAATAAAAAAGTCATCAATTTTTCTTAAAAATGCAACCAAATTTTTCTAACATTGCACCAATTTTTGTACCAAACAAATTGAATTGAAAATAATTCTAATAGAAAATTAAAATAAATTGTTAATATTTATGCAACTGTCTCTTTCCTAAAGAAAATGATATGAACTTAACCAAAAAAAATGATATGAACTTACCAAAATCTCGGTAAAACATGGTTAAGAAAAAATATAGTAATCCAAAAAAATCGATGCATTTAAATTTTGAAAAGTTGCACATAATTTTTCCTAAATAATTGGATAAGGTGACTTTAAATATCAATGATGAACCGCTTTTGTTACCAAAAAATGTGGACACAATTTTGAATGTACATCTCATCCAAATATCAGTTTTATTTTAAAATAAAAATTTCACGTGGCTTTATCCAATTTACACAATTTTTTTGAAAGAAAAAATTATTCAGTAAGATTGGAAGAATTGGTTAAGAATTATACAACTATTTGCTTCCTAAATTTATATCCAATTTGCATGGTTTTTAAATTAATTTGTATTTAGAATTGCTTTCATAAATAATTGACATATTTTTTGCATAAGAATCTCCAAATTTGTTACCAAAAATGATATGATTTAAATTTTGCTAAGAAAATAAAATATGATACGAAAAATATGGGATTCAAATTTTCTTATAAGAATCTCCAAATTTTTTCCAAAAAAATAAGATTTAGATTTTGTTACTAAAGATTCACATGTGTTTTTTTTAACTTTTCGTTAATAGTAAGTCAAACATTATATTTTCCAATGAAAGCTATACAAAATGAAATATACTTTGGAATTTTTAGTGGAACACCTTATCGTTGGATTTTCAATGCAATATAGCATTTTATTTTTTGCATTTCCTTTTAAACATTAAAATTTTTATGTTGTAGTGTTTTTATTAAGTAATTGCGTTTACAATTTTTTTTATTAAGAATATATTAAAAACATTAACTTTTTAGTCCATATAATTTTTTAGAAATCACTCGTTATTTTAACTCAAGATTACCTATCAATTTCTCAATTGAATTACAACCTTTTACGTATTAAATATTAAATAAAGAAAATAATTATTATTTTATATTGTAATATGATAAATATTATATTTAAAAGACTAATAGCAAATAAAAAGATATTTAAAATTAAAATAATCATTTTTTTAAATATTAAAATTTCCAACCTATATGGATAAAGTACAAATAATTATTATCTATCACCTAAAAGTTACACATAGAACTAATAAGCACAAAAAAAATAAAAAGAAATAAACAATTCAATTCATTTACATCGATAAGTATAAGTTTAAAAGTTTTATATTTACTTTTATTAATTATAAAATTTTTATTTATTATTTGTTTTCATATTTATTAGTAAGTCTTACAACTTAATTATATTTTTAAATTATTCATCATATTTAATATTTTTTTACTTTCATATTGTTCTTTTATTTAGCACACATCTTGAAAATAAGTGGCTCAAATAAAATAATAATAATTAAAATCTCATGATATATTTTACTTAATTATTTAATGTAAAATTTGTAAATTTTAAGTGTTAATAATTAAAATATTACTCACCTTGATATTAACCATCTAATGGTCAGGTATAAATAATTATTATTTTATATTGTAATATGATATTTATATATTATATTAAAAAAACTAATAGCAAATAAAAAGTTATTTAAAATTAAAATAATCATTTTTTTTTCAAATATTAAAATTTCTAACCTACATGGATAAAAGTACAAATAACTATTATCTATCACCTAAAAGTTACACATAGAACTAATAAGCACCAAAAATTAAAAAGAAATAACAATTAACAATTCGATTCATTTACATCGATAAGTATAAGTTTTTTAAGTTTTATATTTACTTTTATTAATTATAAAATTTTTATTTATTATTTATTTTCATATTTATTAGTAAGTCTTACAACTTAATTATATTTTTAATGTTATTCATTAGATTTAATAATTTTTTACTTTCATATTGTTCTTTTATTTACCACACATCTTGAAAATCAGTGGCTCAATAAAATAATAATAATTAAAATCTCATGATATATTTTACTTAATTCTTGAATATAAAATTCATATATTTTAAGTGTTAATAATTAAAATATTACTCACCTTGATATTAACCATCTAATGGTCAAGTGATAATTTGTTAATTATATTCACTTTGTGACTAAAATTAGAAAAAACAAACAAACAAACAAATGACCATTTTTGTGGGATCAAAATTTAATCCAGTAAGACTAAAGTGCAATTTCTATTCCGATTCTAAATATAAGAGTTTACTTTTCTTAAATAATGAAGTAGCTAAATGAATTGTTCAACTATTCTAGTTTCTCAGATAATGTATAAAATTATATTAAAAACAGGGATTTTTTTAAAACAACAATTCTATATTTTTTCAAAACTTTGTTGTTTAGGTTGATGTTGGGTTGATTTTTGGGAGATATGTGGAAGAAAGCCATTTCGTGAGAAATAATGGTGCGAGAATATTGAGTTTGATTTTTTAGGAGATGTGAAATGTATTGTTCATGTATTTGTATATAATTAATTAAGCATTAGTTATTAATTAAAAATATAAGATATGATGCGTATTAGTGTATTACTAATTTTCCATTAAAAACATGTTAAATTAAGGGTTTTTTAGGTAATTTATTTTTTAATTAAAAATATAAAATAAAATATGTATTAGTGTATTACTAATTTGTCATTAAAAATATGTCAAAGTAAGGTTATTTTAGGTAGTTAATATTTTTACAAAAGCACTCGTCCTTTTAGAGTAGTATCCTTTTAGAGTAGTATAGATAGATAGATAGATAGATAGATAGATATAGATAGATAGATAGATAGATAGATTATGGAGAATCGGTAGATATTACATTTGTTCACGTCCCGATATTGAGAGAAGTGGACATATGGCTCAAATTCGGTTTGACGGCCTCAGGGATTTTCGATAATCTCATGAGAAATGCTCCCCAACTCGAGGCTTGATCCTTATGCATGATGATTGATGTAAGTGAAATACTGAAAAGTATACATTTTTTTTTTTTTTTTTTTTTTTTTTTTTTTTTTTTTTTTTTTTTTTTTTTTTTTTTTTTTTTTTTTTTTTTTTTTTTTTTTTTTTTTTTTTTTTTTTTTTTTTTTTTTTTTTTTTTTTTTTTTTTTTTTTTTTTTTTTTTTTTTTTTTTTTTTTTTTTTTTTTTTTTTTTTTTTTTTTTTTTTTTTTTTTTTTTTTTTTTTTTTTTTTTTTTTTTTTTTTTTTTTTTTTTTTTTTTTTTTTTTTTTTTTTTTTTTTTTTTTTTTTTTTTTTTTTTTTTTTTTTTTTTTTTTTTTTTTTTTTTTTTTTTTTTTTTTTTTTTTTTTTTTTTTTTTTTTTTTTTTTTTTTTTTTTTTTTTTTTTTTTTTTTTTTTTTTTTTTTTTTTTTTTTTTTTTTTTTTTTTTTTTTTTTTTTTTTTTTTTTTTTTTTTTTTTTTTTTTTTTTTTTTTTTTTGGCACTTCTCGCAGAATATTAATTGCTACATTTTCCTAACGGACTCTTTATTTATCCATCTCCAGGTAGTAAGACCACTGTCTTCTGCAAACATTGCTAAGTCATGTCTAAGGAAGCTCGATTTACATGCTAAGATCCCATCCGGTTTTAATCTTTTAAGTATTAATTAATTGTTGAAAGTTTACCCTTTCCTCGAGATATTGCATCTAAAGGTTGGTTTTCCTTACCTTGGTAATTTTCTGGTGGTTTTTTTAAATAAGCTTCTTTGGGTAATTTTTCAAATAAGTTTGTTGGAATTTTTATTTCAGCTAGCTTATCAGCTAATTTTACTAAACAATTTTATCATATAAGCTAGTTTTCAGCTATAAGTTATAAACTCGAAAATTACTTATCAGCTATCAAACTAGTTTTACCAAACATCGCTATAGTGGTTTCTATGTTTTACAGATGCTATATGTAGTTGATTTTAATCTTCTGCCGGTTTTGCATATTCTCATCAACAGTTGAGTCTTTGAGAACACACCGTACGTAGGCAAGGAGGAGGGTATTGTGGTAACCTGTCACACTCTCGGTTGAAAGAAGTCAAAATTGAAGGATTTAGTTTGCACGTAAGGTCATTGATGTTCATATGCAACTTGCTCAAAAGGGCTGTGGCTCTTCAATACATGATTATCTAAGGTTGTCCGAATAGAAAAGAGAGGCTGACAAAGGTTATGCAGAGGATCATCGCTGCAAGTACAGCTGAGGTCATCATCCAGTGATGTTTAACTTTAAGAGCATCTCCAATGTTTTAATGTTGTTGTAAGATAAATTTTGACAAATGTCAAAAAATGAAATAGATTGTGATACATGTAGGATAAATGTTGTGTTCACAACTATTAAATTAAAAAATCATCTTCAATGCATAATGTAGTCTAATTACAATATTATCTACTTACCAAATATTAAAATTTTAATATGAATTAATAGAATTAATTAAATAATTAAATAGTTTGAAAATGGTAATAACAAGTCTCTCTCTTCTCTTCATTGGCTAGCTAGAGTGTGGAGGAGAATGTGGATGAACCACATTCTTCTCTACATTGTAGATATTAATTATGTCCACTTCATCACAATATTTGTGATCACATTGTACATTGGAGGATAAAAAGTTATGATATTAATAAATGTGTTGATATGGAATGTAATTTGGCACTACAACATTGAGCATTGGAGATGCTCTAATAAGTATATTTAAAGAGATGCTAGTAATTTATTTATTTTTTATTATTATTTTTTTTTATATGTTCTGAAAATAGCTATAATCATAAGTACAAATTACTATGATTGTCTTATCTCTAACTAATATCTTGGGAAGTTGATTAGTGATTACTATTAATTGCGATGCTTTGACGAGATTATCTCAATACTATTTACAAATTTGGGTTACATTAACTAGTTTCTATATACTAGTACGGTGCCCGTGCGATGCACGGAAGCATTTATTATATATATATTTTTTAAAAGATATTTTTGTATTTAAGTTGTCTCATGCCATTAAAAATTTCATGAAAATGGAATTTATATGTTAATAAGCACTTCCTTATGTACAACATTATTGATTTGATTCTTTGGCACGTAAAGTACTACATAGGTGTTCGAATTTATTCAAAATTGCATATTATTAGTTGATAAATTTTACAAAAATTAAGGGATCTTATTTATTGAACAAAATTAAAGTAGAAAAAAAACTAAATTTTTTTAGGGATTTTCACCCATTATTTATTTTAAGTCTAATTCTAAATTTCAATTAAGAAAAATTGAAAAGAATCATTAGTTAGTTCCGGAAATGAAACCGATTTTCCTACCAATAAACCGATTTTTTTATCAAACAAATTGATCCGATTTTTTTTTAAAACCAAATAAAAAAATCATCAATTTTTCCTAAAAATGCAACCAAATTTTCCTAACATTGCACCAATTTTTGTACCAAATAAATTGAATTGAAAATAATTCTAATAAAAAATTAAAATAAATTGTTAATGTTTATGCAACTGTCTCTTTCCTAAAGAATATGATATGAACTTAACAAAAAAAAAATGATATGAACTTACCAAAATCTCGGTAAAACATGGTTAAGAAAAATCGATGCATTTAAATTTTGAAAAGTTGCACATAATTTTTCCTAAATAATTGGATAAGGTGACTTTAAATATCAATGATGAACCGCTTTTGTTACCAAAAAATGTGGACACAATTTTAAATGTACATCTCATCCAAATATCAGTTTTATTTTAAAATAAAAATTTCACGTGGCTTTATCCAATTTACACAATTTTTTTGAAAGAAAAAATTATTCAGTAAGATTGGAAGAATTGGTTAAGAATTATACAACTATTTACTTCCTAAATTTGTATCCAATTTGCATGGTTTTTAAATTAATTTGTATTTAGAATTGCTTTCATAAATAATTGACATATTTTTTGCATAAGAATCTCCAAATTTGTTACCAAAAAAGATATGATTTAAATTTTGCTAAGAAAATAAAATATGATACGAAAAATATGGGATTCAAATTTTCTTATAAGAATCTCCAAATTTGTTACCAAAAAATAGGATTTAGATTTTGTTACTAAAGATTCACATGTGTTTTTTTTAACTTTTCATTAATAGTAAGTCAAACATTATATTTATTTGATCAAATTTTCTATTAATGTATTTTTCCAACAACATCTTTATATATATATATATATAATATAATTGCTTCTCTTATATTAGTACAATTAATAATGAAACATTAGTATGTATCTATACAACCGCGTGACCTCATTATTAATTATATCGCCGACTCAAAATTAACGTGTGATTAAATTTAACCCTAATATATGGAGCAATAGGATTCCTACTGAAACTTGATCAAATAGTTGGATCCAATAATAGCAATAATATCGAAATTACAAACACAAACTAACTGAGCACCTAATTTCCCAATTCAAATACAAAAAGGAATCACTCTCTATATATATGAGAGGAATATAAGCCCGTGAAAAATACGAGTTTATGGCAGAAATACTATTTTCAATAGTGTTTTCCATTATTTTCTCTGGTTTTTATGCCATCTCCTTCATTTGGTGTTTTCTCAAAGAAATTATTCTCAAAAATTTTGACACTGATTCTGTTGAATATCTTTCGAAGGGTGTTTGTCGAGAGAAATCAAACTTGACATTGCCATGCGTATGGACTCACAAGTACTATTATAATATGTTTCCGGAAGAAGAATGCCGTTTCTGAATGAGAATTTATCATGATTCAAGCGTTGTGATTCTGTAATTTGCAATTTTTTTTTTATCTTCTTTTATTTTTATTTTTTTCAATATTTTTTATTCTATTTCGTATTTCGTTTAGGGTTTAAGGCATATGCGCCTTTTGCAAGAAGTACATTTTTCTTTTATATATAATAAAAGTTGTCTTTGTCTAGCCTTTTTTTTTTTTTCAAAGAAAATGTATGTATTTTAAACAAAAAAACTATCATGTATTATATGAAATAAACCTTCAGAGATGTTTTCCTATTGTTTTCATTCGACTAACAGATTTGTTGGGAAGAGGTTTTTTTTTCTCTCTTTTTCATCTCAGAATTGTTGGGGAAGAGGTTAAGATATAAAAAGGTCATGTGGCATAGCGAAAAGGGTTTTTCTCGATTTGCTAATTCCCTCAAGAAAAACTGTAAAATNGAAATTTAAAATCTATCTCAACTTTAACTTCCTGAATTCTCAAAGTCCAGATTTTAAGTATACTATTCTCAATCATACGCTTTCGCTACGTCAATAACTGTCGAAAGCATACACTTAACATCTCCAAAGTTCACGTGCGATTTATCTCCCGAGAGAAACAGTTTAACTTCATCCTTCACGTCGATCCAGCTGCAGCCGGGACTCTTTTTAACCCCTTTCGATCTTTTAAACACTCTCGTTCGCTCTTCATCTCCTTTCTTACCCACAAAACTATAAATATTCGACAAAACCACATATGGAGCTGCATTATCCGGTTCAAGCTCCGAAAATTTTCGAGCCGCGAGCTCTGCAGCTTCAAGATTCATATGAATTCGACTCGCGCCAAGAAGGGCACCCCAAACACCCGAGTGAGGCTCGACTTTCGACATCATCGAATTTATCAATTTCAAGGCCTCGTCAAATCGGCCCGCTCTCCCGAGCAAATCCACCATACAAGCGTAATGATCTGGGCCGGGCTCGAGCCCAAACAGAGCTTTCATAGATTTAAAATGCTTCCACCCTTCATCTATATTCCCCACGTGAGTACACGCGGATAAAACTCCTAAAAACGTAACTTCGTTCGGCTTTTCTCCTTCGTCAACCGATTTTCGGAACAAATTGAGCGCTTCTTCTCCGAATCCGTTATGTGCAAAACCCGTTATCATGGAATTAATCGAAACAATGTCTCGTTTAGCGATTGAATTGAATATATTGTATGCGTTGTTTATAACCCCACACTTTGAGTACATCGAGACGAGAGAATTTTGGACCGATAAATTATTTTCCATACTGGTTTTGTGAACCGAGGCATGAATTTGCAGACCAAGGCTTAAAGAAGCCAAACTAGCCGAGGCACGAAGCAAGCTACTCAATGTAAGAGTATTAGGCTTAATTTCACTACGCATCATTTGAACATACCAAGAAATAGCTTCTTCGTGTTCTCCATTATTCACAAATCCAGAAATCAAAGCAGTCCAAGCAATATCATCACGTTGGGGCATATTGTTAAATAACTCAACGCATTTATCAGTTAAACCATGGTTAGAGTATCCCATCATTAGGGAAGTCCACGAAGCTAAATCCTTCGAACCCATTTTCGTAAAAAGCTCGTGGGCCTTTTCAAGCCTTCCGGCAAGAACATAACCGTGAATAAGGGCATTCCAAGAAAGTAAATCTTTTTCGCGCAATGTGCTGAACAAATATTCGGCCTCGTTCAAAAAGCCTAGCCTCGAGTACATTGCAACAACACAATTGCTCATTAAAACGTCAGATTCGAACCCCATACGTGATGCAAGGCAATGCACTTGAAAGCCTTCTTTGCATTTACCGATTTTGCCACAGGCCTCGAAAATGACAGTGAGAACTGCGGGTCCCGTTTTCACACGACCTTCCTTTCTCATCTGTGAGAACAACTTAAACCCATCCTCAAAATTTTCGACACTCATGTACCCATCAATCATAGAACACCAAGTGAACTCATTTTTATCATCTTCTTCCATCATATCGAACAATTTTCTCGCCTCGCTAACTCGACCTATTTTACAGAACCCGTCCACCATCGAGCTCCAAGAAACCACGTTCTTCTCTGCCGTGCCATTAAAAACCTTAACAGCCTCCTCGAATCTCCCCTTTTTCAAATACCCATTGATCAGAATATTAGAGCAAAATGGGTCCCGCCATTTTACAGGGGCCTCACTATACAGTCTCTCGGCCTCTACGAACCTTCCGGATTTGGCGAAACCCATGACCATGGCAGAGTAAGACACAGCGTTCCTCACCGGCATTCTGAGGAACAGCCTGAAAGCCTCGTCGAGGCCGCCGCTCGATCCGCTCCTCACATACGCCGTGATCATGGCGTTCCACGTGGCAACAGTTCGTTGGGGCATATTTTCGAACACCTGGCGGGCGTCTGATAATCGGCCGTTACCTGCGTATGCCGAGAGCATGGCGGTGTAGGAGACGACGGTCTTTTCCGGAATGCGTCGGAACAGGGACTCCGCCTCCCGGATGTTTCCTCTCCGGCCGTGTTCCGTGATCTGCGAGTTGCAGTAGACGACAAACTTGCTGGCCTTGGGCGGTGGTTTTGGGAAAGTTTGGGCTGCGGAGGTTGAGTACGCCTTGAGAATTGTTGGGCGGCGGAGAGTGTGCATTTCCTTTTTACGCCGGCGAGAAAGCCGACTCGAGCCGAGCTGATAAGTTAATAAGCCGATAAAAGAGATCGAGCCCCATCAAGCTAAAGACTTCTTTTCTTTAACAGCTCTCGTCTGTGAATCAGGCAAATTGAACTTATGTTGCTCAAAGGTCATATTTATGGGCTTTTTATATATTGCCAAGTGGACTTTGCACTTGTTCTGAAGCCCAATGGGCTTTGTTCAGTGAATCCGTTGCTCAACGAAGAAGCAAGCTCTCAATCTTCATTCCTTCTACTTTTTTTTTCCTTGGGTCTTTTTCCAAATCTCAACTTTTAAATTGTATTCACTTACAAAACATTGTTGAAGTTNAAATTATGATAAAAGAAACTTATAAATTAGATGAATACGGTGAGGGATATCGATATTTTGATAGAATAACAACTGAAAAAATGTTCGAAATTTGATCATAATCTCGATTTTGATTGAATTGATATAGAAATGGTTATGCTGGTTATAAACAACTTCCATATTAACAAACTTAATCAAAACTAGATCAATATAGCCTAATTACAAAGCATGCAAGAAACACTAAAATCTCCTTAACCAAATTCACTCAAAGGCTCGAAAGAATTACAAACACTCTCATGAAGATCAATATATTTTCATATAGATATTTGGGAAAATTGGAAAAACTTTAATTAAACTATTAATTTCTTAGCACACAAGTCCATAATAACTTGCCCCCCTCACCTTCTTATTCTTAGAGGGTAAGAAAGAAAGGAAATTGCTCAAAAGATTGTCACTTTTCTATATACATGCCACTTTTTTGACATGGTCTAACATATATCACTGCATTTGACAATAATCCTCTTAAGTTAAAAAGAGAAACCAATAATGGAGTGTTACTATATGCATAAACTTTAGCAAATAAAGTAGATGACCCCACACAAGCCTTTTATATATGCTAATGCCATGATTAGTTGGGCTGGTTCAGCAAATAAAAACTAAATTTGGTGTGAGAACCATATGTGATATTATTTTTAATCGTGTGTGATGCTATTTTTAATGTTAGATGATGTTATCATTTTTACAAATGATAATATAAATTGTGTTGTTATTTCTAATAAAATACGTTCTAATTAAAAATAGCACCAAATACAATCAATCATTGCACTACGCACAATTAAAAATAGTGGTTCTCACACTAAGACTTGGTTCTCATTTAAACCACATCCTATATATTGTTCAAAAAGTGAGCACAAGTTGATATGTTGTGATAGATAATTAACATATTATATATTGTTCAAAAATTAAGAGATCTTGCCATGTGGCTGGTGAAACGTGCCCACGATAAATATGCAAGCATTTTTGCCTTTATTATTAGTTTTTTTAGGTTCATTTTTGCCTTTATTTTGAGTTTTTCTTTACCCAAATATAGTTTAAAATATATGATAATTTGCTATCTTTATTTTGGAGATAAATTTACTTTATAGTTCCTTACAAGATTAACATTTTTATTTTTATATCTTGTTTTAGAAAGTGTTTTAATTTTATTAGAAAATATTCATACAGTCTTGTGAGTAAATGAAGGGATTAAAAATGCTTTCCAATAGAGGGTTTGTCAGTGAACATTAAGTTTTCAGTGCTTATGCACTTTTCCCATCATGTCTTTTACCATCTACTCTTTATATTACTACAAAACAACCCTGATTAGGCCACAATTATACATGCATTATCACAAATAATAAAAGGGGTGTTCTTTACAGCAAGCATTAAAAGCAGCTTTTTTAATATATATATATATATATACACATATATATATATATATTATAGTTTTTTTTTTTTTT